CAGCCACAGGTACATTATAGAACTGCTCCACAGGGTGTCAAGGCTGGGACCTTTTAGAAGTATATGACCAGATCTATCCTCCAAGGAGCCTCTGGGTGGGTTTGACCTGTCAACTTTCCAATTGAGAGCCAAACACTTAACTGTGCTACCCACTGACTCTTAAATTAGAACTTGCTCTATACATACATGGATGATCATTGGTGGTTTGGGGAGGAAGTGCTATTTGAACAGAATCTTGAACATGTTTAATAAGTAGGAATATAAATGTGTGAGGGGCTCAGCCCATGTATGAGTGTGAAGAAGGATTTGGAGCCAAGAACCAGCCAGTGATTAATTGTATTCCCAGAACCTAGTTCAGAGGTGGAAGGGGAGTGGGTGTTCAATAAATGTCCTCATAGACATTAAATATAGTGTTCTTTGGTTTTGAAAAGAGAAATCACATGTCAGACATAAACATCAATTGGAAGATTCATTCTGATTTCATACACATTAAAATGTGACAGTGGAGTCCACTTCTGAATCTTTAACACATGTCCCTGGTTGCATAGTGGTTACAAGTTGGGCTGTGATTGGCAAGGTCTGAAGTTCGAAACCACCAGCTGCTCTGAGGGAGAGAGATGGGACTTTCTATTCCCATAGACAGTTACAGTCTCAGAAACACACACGGCCAGTTCTACCCTGTCCTATGGGGTCACTGTGTTAGGCCAGGTTAACTAGAAAAATGAATCCAGAGACACTCATATGTGTACAAAAGAGCTTTATGTCAAGAAGTAATTATATATCAAGGAAACATCCCAACCCAGTCCAACTCAAGTCCTTAAGTCCCATCTTAGTCCATAAGTCCCTCTTCAGATTCACACAGCCACACACAAGATGCAGGATGCAGGAAGATCACAGGCCAGTGGGTACGGGGTCGAGGGTCACCAAGGTCAGTGGAAAAGGCGCAGGGCTCCAGCAGCTCTCAGAATGGCCAAGAAGCAGGAAGGCGAAGGCCGAGAGGGTGGGGGTGGGGGTTCCCAGGGCTCTCCTCATAAGAAGGCCATGTCCACAGGGAGACACCATCAGGGTATGACCTGATTGACAGATTGGAGACCACTTCAACATTTTCATACATCAAGTTGATGTACAGTTATCTAGCTACCACTGTCAGGCCGAATCAGCATCGAGGTGATGGCTGTGAGTTTGTTTTGGGGGGGGATTTGATGAGTGTGAGAGGGATAGAACTTTGGAGTACTAATATAAAGGCATATACAGCTGGAAAGGCCAAACAGAACCAGGTGGTGTAAGATCCCGAATTCTGGGCTAACACATTTATTTATTTACGTTATTACTTTTTAAATTAAAAGATCATTTTATTGGGAGCTCTTACAGCTCTTATAACAATCCATACATCAACTGTATCAAGCATATTTGTATATATGAGGAGCTCATACCAAGGGCTCAAATAGAAAGTAAATGTTTAGAAAATAATGAACCCATTTACTTTTAACAGGGAGTCACAGGAGGATTTTGGAGCAGCCTGTCTGCCCTGGTGGTGCAATGCTTAAGCGTTTGATTGTTAGGCTGACCTTAGTCATTAAAGTAACATATTTGCTTTATAATAGGCCTTTTTGCAGCAGATTTGACTTCCTAATTCCTATGTCCCTGGATAGATATTGATTGATGATCCAAGTAGAATGCGACCATTGACAATTCTATTTTGAGGGTTCCCATTTAGAATGATGTTTTATTGGTTCAGTTGCAAGGATTAGCATTTTCTGCATGTTCAGCGTGGGTTCACCATGGCACCCTCAGGCATATGTTCATCGCTCTCTCTTCCCTCAAAGGCCCCGCACTAGCCCTGCGCACACGGCTGGTTTGCAGTAGAAAGTATATTGCTAGATGTGTCCATCCCAAATAAGAAG